GGAGGGGTCTGTGGGGTTGGGGGTCCCAAAAAGGGGTGATCCCAATGTGGGGAGGGGTCTGTGGGGTTGGGGGTCCCAAAAAGGGGTGATCCCAACGTTGGGGTGTCCTCAGGATGGTTGTCCCAAGGTTTGGGGGGGTCTGTAGGGAACATCCATGGGGAGTGGGGGGTCCCAGCCCCACGGGACCCCTGTGCTGGCCCCATGGAAGTGATCACTCCCTAAGGATTGGGATTTAACAACAAAGCCCCATAAATATCCCAAAAACCCGCCCCGGTAAGGAGGGAAAGAGTCGGGTCCGCCCCGACACCGGATTGGGCAGGAAAATCTTTAATTGTAGCTGGATCCAGCTGGGAAGGACAAACTTCATTAGTGCCTAATTAATCCCTGGATATCATCAACGCTGGGGGAGGATCCCAGATCTGGGAAGGAGCTCCTGGATCCATCCCAAACAATCCCAGTGCCTGCTCCCATTCCCTGAGCTCTCCCAGCCTGGAATTTTCTGGTGGCTCACCCAAACCTTCGTTTGCTTTAATTTTTGGGGCTGGAGCTTTTTCCTGGGGATTAAAAAACAGGGAAGGGACTCCTGGATCCATCCCAAATATTCCCAGTCCCTTCTCCCATTCTCTGAGCTCTCCTAGTCTGGTGGCTCACCCAAATTTTGCCTTGTTTGAGAGGATTTTCCTTTTAATTTTTGGGGCTGGAGCGTTTTCCTGGGAGGAAAAAGCGGGGAAGGGGCTCGGTGCCCGCCTCAGTGGCACGAGGTGGGCACGGGGACAGGGCCAGCTGTCCCCAAACAGCGCTGGGGACACTAAAAATAACCCGGGAGGGACAGCCCGGCTCGGGTTCCCAGCTGGAAACTGCCCCGGGCAGGCACGGGAGGGTTTGGGGGGGCTCCCAGACACCCCCTGTTCCAACCCTGGGGGGAATTTAGGGTGGAAAACAGCCCCAAAATCCAACCCTGGGGGGGTTTCAGGGTGGAAAACACCCCCAGAATCCAAACCAGGGGAGTTCAGTGGGAAAGCAGCTCCAAATCTCCATCCCAGGGGGGCTTAGGATGGAAAATACCCCAAAAATCCAACCTTGGGTGGGTTCAGGGTGGAAAACACCCCCAAATCTTCAACCTGCTGGGGCAAGAGCCCCAAAATCCAACCCAGGATGGGTTTAGGGTGGGTAACACCTCCGAAATCCACCCCAGGGTGGGTTTAGGGTGGAAAACACCCCCAAAATCCAACCCTGGGGGGGTTCAGGGTGGAAAATAGCCCCAAAATCCACCCAGAGAATCTCCGGGATCTGGGCACTTCCAACCTCTCCAGCACCTTCCCTTGTCTCCCTGGATCTCTGTAGGTTTTTGGGGGGCACAAAGAGGCTGGGAAACGCCTGGGAGAAGCTGGCCAGGCTCGCCCTGCCGCGAGGTGTGGATCCCACGCCGCTTTCTCCGTGTTTGTTTTGTTTCCCCGGGATGAAGCAGCGCCCGTGGCATCCCGTGTGTCCCGGCAGGTTTGTGGGGCAGGGAAGGAATGGCAGGATCGGGGCGGTGCTGCCAGGGCCTGCCAGCTGCTGGCACGGTGTGGGCAGGGATTGCACAGGGAGCAGGGATGGGCAGGAATCCCACAGGGATCTGCGTGGGAAGGGGCAGGAATCCTCTGTGGATCCATGGGGGAATAGGAGAACGGGCAGGAATTCCATGTGGATCCATGTGGGAAGGGGCAGGAATCCCACATGGAGCAGGGAAGGGCAGGGATCCATGTGGGAATGGGAGGAGGGGCAGGAATCTCATATGGGGCAAAGGCAGGCAGGAATCCCATGTGGATCCATGTGGGAAATAGGTGAAGGGGCAGGAAATCCATGTGGATCCATGTGGGAAGGGGCAGGAATCCCACAGGGAGCAGGGATGGGCAGGGATCCTCTGTGGATCCATGTGGGAATGGGAGGAGGGGCAGGAATCTCACATGGAACAAGGGCAGGCAGGAATCCTCTGTGGATCCATGTGGGAATAGGAGAACGGGCAGGAATTCCATGTGGATCCATGTGGGAAGGGGCAGGAATCCCACATGGAGCAGGGAAGGGCAGGAATTCTGTGTGGATCCATATGGGAAGGGGAAAAGGGGCAGGAATCTCACAGGGATGCGTGTGAGAACGGGTGAAGGGGCAGGAATTCCATGTGGGAAGGAGAAAAGGGGCAGGAATTCTGTGTGGATCCATATGGGAAGGGGAAAAAGGGCAGGAATCCCACAGGGAGCAGGGACGGGCAGAGATCCTCTGTGGATCCATGTGGGAATGGGAGAAGGGGCAGGAATCCTGCGTGGATCCGTGTGGGCAGAGCCGGACGAGCTGTGCCGGGTCTGACCCCGCTCTGCGGTGTTTATTCCCATTTTGGGGGGCGTTTATTCCCATTTTGGGGGGGGTGTTTATTCCCATTTTGGGGGGGTGTTTATTCCCATTTTGGGGAGTGTTTATTCCCATTTTGGGGTTTGGGTCCCGCTGGGGGCCGATGTCCCTGGGGGAGAAAGGCCGGCCCGATGCCGGCAGCGCTTTCCTTCCCTCCTCTCTCCCCACACATCCGAACCCGGAGCAGACTTGGGGGCAGCTGAGGTGGCTGGGAACATCCCCAGCCCGGCCCTCACCTCCCGCCCGCGCCATAAACCACAAAGCATCGCTCCGGGCCCGGCTGTCCCTGTGTGCCCCGGGGCATCAGCCCCGCATCTCCCCGCGGGGACGGGGGAGGCTCCCAGCAGCACCACCCAGGGCTGTGAGGGCGCCGGGAGCTCCCGCGGGCAGCCCGGCTGAGGCGGCGGCCGGGCAGCGGCTGCGGCCCTCAGAGCGCCGGGGCCGCCATGGCGGCCTCACCCCGCCCGTTGCCACGGCAACCGCTGCGGGGGCAAAGCGATTGGTGCGCGCCGCTGCCATTCAAATCCTCTGCGTCGTCTCATTGGCTGGCGCGGCTGTCCCTCAGTGGGGATTTTGCGCGCCATTGGGTGGGCGCGCTGTCAATCAAGCACGCAGCGGGGCGACCCGCGCTTCCCCGCTTCTCATTCCCCATTGGCTCGCCCGCGCCGAGCGCGAGGGCCGCCCGCGCCTCCTCGCGCGCCCATTGGTCAGTTCGCCTGCCAATCAAAGCGCCGCCGGGGAGGCGGGAGGCACTCCCAGCCGCTCGCTTCCCATTGGTCCGCGCCGCGCTCTCACCTCCCCTCGGCGGGCGGTGATTGGCGGCGGGGCGGGGGGGGCGGTTGGGCCGGGGCGGGGAGCGGGAGCGGCGGCGGCGGCGGGGCCGGAGCGGCGGCGGCGGAGCCCGGCGGGTACCGGAATCTGTGGCGGAGGGTGCGGGGAGG